ACTAGGGGTTCAGTTGGGTTGCATCCTCCGGCCTATCAAGGGGTGCTTAGACTAGAATGTTGATGGTAATCTTAGATCGGGCCTGTCCCCCTAGAGGGGGATTTTCGATGAAAAATTAGAAGTACCCAGGAAATAATCAAAAAATAGTCCAAAAATGGTCTCGGGACTATTGTGGGACTATTTTTGTTGCCCTTTTGGGGTATTTTTCAATTTTTGTCGAAAATCCCCCTGTAGGGGGACAGGCCCGACATAATTGTAATCCATACGTGGCGACGGGAGCCCCGAGAGGCCCCACAAGTGCAACATTAGCAGACAAACAACTGGATCCTCCATCAATGAACCTCCAACCAAGAACGTCGAGCACCCGAGAACAGATAACCTCGTCGTCGTTCTCCTCTGTTCCTTCTCTGGGAAACAGGATATCTCTGTCGCATCACCAGACGCGACGTTGGGGCGAAGCGGGCGGTTCGCCTGAGACCGCCTCACGACTCATGACCCTGGGGCTTACTCTTTTTCAACGGCAACAGAGATGGAGAGGTGCCGTTTTCAAAAACGAAGCTCTCGCCCTGGTGCCGCGCGCGTATAACTGTTTTAAGAGCCTGCAGCAGTGACAAAAAGGTGGGAGGCGGTTCCTCTCTCAAAGCGTGGCTATCGCAAAGCAGCGCCGGTCACGGGGTCGCCTCAAAGGGCTCCATCAGCTACGCGCCGGGCCAGGCTGTCAAAATTGAGCCGCCGCCCGCGCACGGTCGTCGAAAAAACTCGCAACAATTACCGCGATGGGAAACGGCCCCTTTTCAAAATGGATCATTCCGCTGCACATTGGAGGCCAGTCCACAAGACACCTTCCACAAGAAACCCAACCCTGAGGCCCCAGGACGTCCATTGATTTCTGGTTTGGGAACGTCACGTTATCCATGGCAGAACCATCGAAACCCAAGACACCCAGGCAGGGCACCCTGGAGGCGAGCAGGGTGTTTCTTGGCATCTCTACTGTACCCTGATGGGAAGCAACCCCCTTTTCAAAATCGGGGTTTTCGCTGTAGCGCCGCGCGCGGTCGTCTCAGAAGTTCCCGACAGCTGCGATTAGGTCAGGCCTGTTCCCCTACAGGGGAATTTTGGACGAAGAATCAAAAATACTCAAGAAATCACCCCAAATAGTCAAAACGTGTTTCTGACAATGGTCCCCTGACCAATGTTTTGATCATTCGGGGAGACTCCTCCTGTAGAGGGGCACGCCCGACTTTCAGCCACGAGGACGAGGGCGGCCTTGTGAGCACCGGGGCTCTGGCCTGGGCGCCGCGCGACGGCCGCCTCGGAAACTGCCAGCAGGGCAACGAGCTGGAGGGCAGCGGGGCCCGAAGCGAGAGGCCAGGCGCCAACACGGGTGTGACAGCTGCGCGCTCGGAGGGCGGCTCCTCTTCGGAACGGGGCCCTCGGCGGAGACTCGTCCGAGGTGCAATGGGGGGGGGAAGAAGCCGGGGGCCATGACCCAGACTGAACGCGGACGGGTCGTGCCGATCTTGGTCAGCGTAGATCTTGGTCAGCATTGGTTCATGGATCGACCTCGCGAATCGGCAACGCCCGGCATGGGCGCCGAACAGGCTCGGCATCGACAAGTGGTCCCCGTGCTTGTTCCCTCGAGGAGGGACCAGAAGCGTATTAAGCATGTGCAGCAGCTGCTCAGACAGGGTCCGGTGCTTGGAAAAGCTGGGGTCTCGCGAAACAGCTCGTTGAAGCAAACGGCCATATCATATCTCGCCGCTTTCCTTACTACCCATCGGTCGGAAGAAGTAGATAGAGACATGGAATGGGAAGGCGTCGAAGGTAGATTGGGTTCCGTCCGCCCCCTGAGGAGAAGGATGGAAAAGGTGAAGCAACTCGATGGTTAAAGTAGAAAGGCGCTTAAACTAGATTGGAATATGGGAATCCAAAAATACATACTATTAGGTCGGGCATGTCCCCCTACAGGCCCTCTTTGGACAAACAAAAAAATGCTCTCAAAAATCAGCACGTACTCCAAACATGCTCAACACTACAAAAAGAATGCCGCCCCCAGGCCATGTTCTGACGATTTTTGAGTACAGGGACAGGCCCGACTGAAACCTGCTTTCGACGACCGCTGGGCCCTCGCTGGAGGGATGCAGAGCAGCTCACTGCCCAAGGCGGGGCTCTCGCAGGAGCGGCAGACCCGCGGGCCGGGCCGTCGGGTGCTGGTCCTCTCCTGGGGGCACGCCTTGGAGTCAGAGAGGGGAGGCCCGCGTGGACTTCGAGGAGGCTTGCGACGGGAGGGCGTGCTGCAGCTGGTCAGAAGGGAAGTCTGCACGGTTTCCCCAGGGGCCGGAGGCGACCCGAGGAGGAGGAGGAGGTGGAGGAGGGAGAGGGGGAGGACGAGGAGGAGGAGGAGGAGAAGGAGGAGGAGGAGGAGGAGGAGGCGGAGGAGGAGGGAGGGAGGAGGAGGAGATGGAGGAGAAGGAGGAGGAGGAGGAGGAGGAGGGAGGAGGGGGAGGGGGAGAAGGAGGGAGGAGGAGGAGGACGGGTCGCCTAAGCCCTTCGGAGAAACCCTCCAGGGAAGGTTTGTATTGACTTGGAGAGGACTTGCGACGGGAGGGTGTATTGGAGCTTCGTTGCTGTATCTTGGGTTTACTCTGATCATCCTCCACCTCCTGTTCTCTAAGCCACCGAAGTTGTGTTGATCCAGATCTTATACATTGTTTTAACTCGACGTGTTGGGAATCATTTGTTCCGCGCTTTTCAGTCCCAATGAGAAGACTAACAGCGTTCAACAAATTATTCATGTGCTGCGCTCTTCGCAATTGTTTGGCGTTTTCAAGTCTGCTGGTTGCATTGCTCAACGTTGCCGCCTACGACGTCCTCAGCTCCTTACCCTGGCGTGCAGTCCTCCCTGTGCTTGCATAATCACGACGAGTGTTCCTTTGCCTCTTCTCCTGCCCTCGCTGCTAGCTGGGGCGTCGGGCCTCGGGGCCCGATGGCTGATGGCTCCTCCCGGGGCTATCGGGCCTCTGGGCCTGCTCCGGGCCAAGGTCAGACCGGTGTCGGAGCGACTCTGCTGGGGCAACTCTGCGGCGGACAGACCTCCCTTCAGTAATAGGGGGGAAACAAACCTACCTCGCTTTTGACCACCCTCGCTTCCAAGAGATACCAAACGATGCCGAATTGCAGCCTGTACTGGTCAGGCCGCTTGACGAGGAGGCGCGTGGTATGGCTTGGCTTTGCCTGGAAGCGAAAGCGGGGTGGGTAATTCACGCTCTGAAGTAAACCTCCCCTTAGTGAAAACGGCCTGGGACCGAAACCGACGGACCTGGACCCGCAGAAATGACGGCCGCGACGCCCTCTCGCGAACCGAAAACGGCCAATTCGCTAATCGACGTGTCAGGGTAGGAGGTCTGTCCACCCCCGAGTAACGGGGGCAGAAACGAAAAAGCGGGAGCGAAGACAGCAGAAAAAACAAGGAAGAGCCTCCGACCAGAAAACAAGAAACGAAAAACCAAGTAACGATCCACAACGATGGGCCTAAAAACGCTAAAACATCGGAGCTACCAAAGCCAACAGAAACGTCGCGTTTGGTTTGCGCTGTTAGCTGGCCCAGAGTCCAAAGTGCAAAACGGTAAAACTGCGAGGCGGGGATTTATCCATATCCACCGTCTGGGAACCGACGTCCTGGTGCCCCAGCGGGCGGTGGATATGGGTATACTTCGGCCCCCGGGGGCCCGAATATGTCCATATCTACCGCCTGCCGGGTCATGCATCAATTCCAGCCTCAGAAAAACGCCCAGGGCGTTTTTCTGAAGAGCCAAAGTGTTGATTATCACTGCGCGGACCCTTGGGTGGGACAGACGCGCAGAGACATACTAGTACTATATGTTCACCTTGGAGGCGCGCGTCCGACCCGAACATCTAGTATACCCATCTTGTAGTATATCTTTTCCCCAGCGGTGTGGCCAGAAAGCGCCCGCCACGACGCATATACGATAAGATCTCTCGGTGCGCGCGTCGCCCCTGGGGGGGGGGGCGACTTGCATATAGTATAAGTATGCTGGGGTGACGCCGATTGGAGATCTCGACCCCCTCCCCGGAGACCGGCGTTCCCTCCGGAGCAGTGTCTTGGACGGTCCGGGGGGCCCAGCGAGGGCCCTCGGAGGCCGAGCGTGGCCTCGAAGGCCTCTTCGCCGTGGCCTGCCTCTCGCGACGCCCGCCGTCGGGTTCGCGCGAGGAGGGCGAAGAGCAAAGGAAGGGGCTGTAGCGAATCGGCTCACGCAGCTGATTTCCGCGGCGCTTCCCCGCGCTAGAGGCGCAAGCGTATCCAGGAAAGCGCAAGACGGCGGGGCCGAAACCAGCTGCACGGGGCAGATACCATAACCTCCCCTTGTCCCACTCCCCCCCCCCTTCCGTCCGACCCGCCATAACGGTCTGGGCACCCGTCCTCCTCCTCCTCCTCCTCCTCCTCCTCCTCCTCCTCCTCCTCCTCTTCCCTCCTTATCCTTCTTCTTTTCCTCCTCCTCCTCCTCCTCCTCCTCCTCCTCCACCTCCTCCTCCTCCTCCTCCTCCTCCTCCTCCTCCTCCTCCTCATCCTCCTCCTCCTCTCTTCCCTACTCCTCCTCCTCCTCTTCCCTCCTTCCTCCTCCTCCTCCTCCTCCTCCTCCTCCTCCCCTCTCCTCCGCCGCCTCCTCCGCCTCCTCCTCCACCTCCTCCTCCCTCCTCCCTCCTCCCTCCTCCTCCCTCCTCCCTCCTCCCTCCTCCCGCTCCTCCTCCTCCTGCTTCCCTCCTCCTCCTCCTCCTCCTCCTGCTCCTCCTGCTCCTGCTCCTGCTCCGCGTCCTCCTCCTCCTCCTCCTCCTCCTCCTCCTCCTCCTCCTCATCCTCCTCCTCCTCCTCCTCATCTTCCTTCCCGTCCTCCTGTTCCTCCTATTCCTCCTCCTCCTCCTCCGCCTCCTCCTCCTGGCTTTCTCTCGCCCCCTCGCCATCCCCGCGCGGCGGATCGCTCCGCGATCGGCTGCCCTCGCGCGCCATCGCGCGCCCCTGCCCTCCTTTGCTGCCAGCGGGTGGCGGGCAGGCGGCAAAGCCCTCGGCGGAGGCCCCCCCCCTCCCCCGCCTCGAGGAGCAGCAGAGAAACGAGTGAACGAGCACATCAACAGCATAACGGCAGCGCTGCCCTCTGTTGCTCGTCCCGTGCTGGTGGCCTCCCTGTTGTGAATCAGCTATGCATTCGCCGACCCATCAGGTGGGTCCCCAATCGGTTTAACAACAGCAACGACGACGACAACGACGACGACTGCGACGACGACGACGACGACGACAACGACAGCCACAACGACAACAACAACAGCACCACCACCAACGTCAACAGCAACAATACCAACGACAACGACAACGACAACGACACCGACGACAACAACATCAACAACACCGACAACAACAACATCAACAACACCACCAATTGCAACGACAACAAACATGTTAAGGCTGGTCGCTCTTTCGTGCTCGCGTGCCACTACTCAACACGTATATCCCGAACCCTCGATGCCCGCCCTGTTCGTCTTCGGTCGTAACCCCTTCGGGGTGTATCCCTCTTACCTGCAACGTGTGCATTTCGTGCAGCCCCTAAGGCAGGAGAAGAGGGGACACAGATGGAAGGAAGGGACAAGGGGATGGGAGGAACATGGAGCACGAGAGGAAATATCAGGAGGAGGGCTAAGAGCAGAAAGCACGTGGCAGGACTAAACGGGCAGATCGGGCGCGTAGACCCGAACGGGCGGGTCGGGAAGACGGGCCTACACGGCCCGGTCGAACAGTCGGGTTGCTAACGCATTCGCCCTGCAAGAGTCGCGAGGGCGTCTCGAGCGATAGCGCGATTCCCAAGTAAATCGTGAAGAAATCTAAGCGAGAGCGTGGTTCCTCAGTGTCGAGGGCGTGGCGTCTGAATAAACTGCGAGGGTGTCCCATGCGAAACTGTGGCTCCTGCATTAAATTTATGAGAAAGCCCTTCGCACATGCGATTTGGGGATACACCGTAGGGACAGTATCAGGCGGGAGCCGCTGTTGTTGTAAACCGGGGGCCAAGGGCACAATTTGAGCAGGGAGAGTTTCACTAACAAAAACACAGCGAGCCCCGGGAGGGGCACTTCATACGCGAATGCATGAGTCTTGCATACTTCGCCCAGAAATCCCGGGCGAGAGTGCGATTCCTCAGGAAACAGCGCGATTCCGGAATGGCGAACGATTGCGAGGAAATCAAAAACAAAAGTGCAGTTCTTGGATAAATTGCAAGGGGCTCCCTAGCGATGGCGCGCTTCCTCAATACATTGCGAGGAAATATCAGGCGGGAGCGAGTGCTGTTATAGTCCAGGGGCCAACGGCGCAGTTTGAGGAGGAATATTTTCCCTGATCAAACACACGGTGCGAGCCCTGGGAAGAGCACTTTAAGTGGAAAAACACATGTGTGACCAAAGGGGGGCCAATCGTAATTACTGTTCAGTAGTAGTGAAAAGTTCAACACCACCGCCAACAACATCAACAACAACACCTAAGAATAGTAATAACCGAACACGAAGACCCCAACCCACGGAGACGTCTGCACCCAATCCCTCCCCACTACCCAAGCCGGCTCTGAAGACCCCGCTTCCCCCACCGAGCAACCGAACAACCAGCAACCTGCCTTTGTTGGGTATACAAATTACCGGGGGGCTCAAGGGGAACATCTACTGCTGAGACTCGAGTGCTGAGATTCTACGAGGGAAACTCCACGACCGACGCTCCACGATTGAGGATCCTCTACTGAAGCTCTAGTACTGACGCTCCACTACTGAGGCTCCACTACAAAAGCTCTACTACTGAGGCTCCACTGCAGAGGCCCTACTACTGAAGCTGCCCGGCGGCCGTTCCCCCTGCGAAACGGCCGCGCCCCGCCCTCATTTGCCGCCTGGGATGCCGCCGCCGTCACCAGAGCGCCCCACCGGGCCCCGCCGACTCTCGGATCAGAGCTTTTTGTCGCGCTCGATCAGGACCTGCGCGGCAGCCCCCTGGCGTTCGAGCGCACGCCCCCACAGCGCCGCGAGCCGCCCCTTCTCCCAGCCCGTCTTGGGCCCCGAGCCCGCGGGGGCCCGAGGTGTCAGAGAACGCATGCAGGCGAACGATCGCCCTGTCGCGTTGTGCCTCGTTCAACATGGGACAGTTCTCGGGCGGGCTGACAGCGTGGTAGTTGCTCGAGAACTGGTCCTGGGAGAGGCGCTCGTCTTCGCACCAGGGGCGGACGCACTAGCCCCTGAGCGTTGTCCTCGGCGGTCCTCTCCTCCGAGAATGTAGGCACGTGCTCGTTGGGTATATAGGATATAGGAAGCCCCCTCGTCGCTGGAATCGATAGCTCCCACGGCTGCGCCGAAGTCCCTCTCCAACGGCCCGTCCGGTTTGAAATCATCCCCTCCCGTGGCGTTGATGACGGACGCCAGCTTGGCCGCTCTCGGGATCGACAGCGTGCCCTCCCTGCTCTGGGGCCCCGTGGCCGAAGTGAACCATCTCCGCCTGGTCCTCCGGGCTGCGCTGCTCGGGCTGCTCGATCTCTCGTCGCTGGTCATTTCCATGCCGCCTTGCGCGACGATGAAACAGGATGGGAACGCAACGGCACGGCGTTCCCGCGCGTCGTTGTTCTTCTCTGACCACCTGCGGCCGCGCCTTTTGCTCGCGCATCTCCAGCGGCCACCGGCGGTGGCGCCGCGTGGCTCGTTCACCTGCGCCGGCGCCGCGAACCGCACCCGCGCCTTCGGTTTGAATGGGGCCGTCTTGAAGTGCGGGCGCAGGTGCACGATGTGTTGATCTCCACCGAAGGCACATGGTGAAATCTGCTGCCGCTCCAAGCGCCCGTGTTTCGGGACAGCTTCGGGACAGCTTCGGAAATCTGTTTTTCAACCGGCCGTTCGGTACCACTGGGCCGCCCGTGTTCTTCGCTAGCTCCGCCTCTATGGCGTGCTCGGTGGCACTGGTCTGCTGCGACGGAAATTCCATCTTCTGCTTGTCCCCCAGGTTGGACAATTCGGACTTCAGGCGATCGGATCCTGGCCTGATCCAAAAGATGTTATCGCCGCACTGTCTGCTTCCGTGACACCTGAAACACATGTAGCCGGCAGCACTGGCGCAAGGGGTCCAGAATTATGTTGATGAGCGTCCTCGGCAACTCGCCGCCCATGACCTTTGCCACGTCCTCGCGTAAGGCGACCGAGCTGATGCTCCAGAACATTGAAATCCCACCGCCCTCGTAGGCCAAAACGAAGAAAGAGTCGGAATTGCGCTCCTCATTACAAAAGTGGCCAATGACTGGGTTGGTCGAAGCGGCGGGGCCACCCGCGGACTTGCGCGTGCCGTCGGCCTTCTTGACCCAGGGCGTCAACTTCATCTTGGCGGTAATCAGAGGTCACCGCATATCCTCGGATCTCTTGCCACCCCGCATCGCCCGATTGCGAGCTCGACTAAAGGGGCCGCTGGCAGCCTGGCGGCCTGACTCCCGCCCAGAAGGATCGTACGGAACGCTGCCACGCGCCCCCAACGTCTCTCCGCAGTCCTTCGCCTGGCGGCAGGGCTCCCGTCCCGGAGGGTCGTACGGAGCGTTGCCAAGCGTTTCCGACCATCCTCCGCGGTCCTCCGCCTCCGTAAAACAGGGCTAGGATCGGGATAAATCGCTCCAGAGCGTTCCGGAGCGCTCTCAGAGCATTCCTGAACGCTCTGGAGCGGCCGCGGCGCCCAATACATCCTCCAAGCCCGCCGATTCTCAGAGATTTCGAGTTATCCCGATCCGATTTTGTCCCGATCTTCGCGTCGTTTTAGCCTCCGCACCCCACCTTCTTCCGGCGCGACGGCATGGCGGGGGCCAGGGACGATGAAGTCATCGCTCCGCCGCGGCGAGGCGTCCAGGGCGCAGGCCCAAGGTCCGCCTGCGACGTCCAGCCGTTGCTCTGAAACGGCCGAACGCCTGCGCTCGCCAATGGCCACAGACGTCGGGCAGGCAACAAAATACACGCCCGTATTGGCACGCGGGGGCGAAGCAGAAGGAGAAGCAACAACAGGGACGAACAAAAAGGGCCTGTCATCGGGGAGCGCTCACGGCCCAGGCCCACGTGTGCACACATGTCTCGTCCCCTCCCTCTTCGGGGCCCCCGACGTGCACAAGGAGGACGTCGACTACGCGCATCCACCTCGCCGACCCCAGCCGGCCCGATCATGGGCACAGGATCGACGTGTTTCACTCCCTGAATGGGCTGGGGCATGCACGCGCGGAGCCATGAGCGGCGAGAGGGGGTAGGAGGGCGAGGGAGAAAAGGAGGGGAGAGAGGGAGAAGGAGGGAGGGGGAAAGAGCGAGAGGGAGGGAGGGGGAGGAGGAATGAGAGGTCGAGGGGGCGAGAGGGAGAAGAGGAGTGGCACGAGGTGAGGGATATGGTTCAGGCAGGGGGGGAGTGGGGGAGGGAAGGAAGAGACAAGGAGGGGCGGCAGGGGCAGGGGGCGGCAGGATGGAGCAGGGGGGGCGGGGGGGGGGTCCGAGGGGAAGGGGGGGGAGGGGGGGAGGAAGGAAGGGGGGGGGGGGGGGGGAGGGGGAAGGGGGGAGGCAGAGGCAGGGGCGGGAAGGGCGGGCGGGAAGCACAGCAGGGGCGGAGGCGGCGGAAAAGGGCGGGGGCGGGAACGCGAGGGGCGGCCGGCACGGAACAGCGGGGGGGAGGCGGGGCAGAGACGCCAAGCACCCACGGGGGGGGGTCCATCGGAGAGGCCCTTCTGTGTCACCGCGAGTGGCCTTGAATGTGACTACCTGCCAGACCACCCCAACCCAACCCGAAGACCCGAATTTCGGATTGGGGGGGGGGGGGTACGGGCTTCATATGTGTTTTTCCATGTTTCCCGACCCCCCCCACACTGGAAACGGAGGGCAAATCGTGGCCTTCGGGTTGGGTTGGGGTGGTTTGGTGACGGGGCCCCCCTGGGAAAAGAGATCGCCGGCCTCCGCAGCAGCAGCGGTCTTCTCGCGGAGCGCTTCTCCGAGCGCACGGATTCCGGTCTTCGTGGAGCAGCGGGGGGAGGGGGAGGGGATGCGAGCGGATGGATCAGGAAGGCAAGGGCGGAGAACGGGGGGGGAGAGGCCGGAAACCAGGCAGAGAGAGAGAGAGAGATAGAGAGAGAGGCCGCGACCAGCAGCTGAAAGGAAAAAGCATGCGTCCAAAAGAAACGCCAGGCACGACGCCGACCACGACGACGACGCCGACCACGACGACGACGACGTAGACTGCGGCGGCAGCGGCGACGACGGCGACGACGACGACCACGACCGCCCCTGGCGACGGCGGCGACGGCACCGACCGCGAGGACGGCGACGACCTCAGCCCGGAGGACGCGGGTCCTGTTGGAAACGGGTCCTGAACCCTGGGGCCTGCTCTGGGGCGAAGAGAAATATGCACATGCACCGATCCTGGCAAGGCCCATCCTTGACCCAGGATCGGTGCATATGCCTTCCTGGCCAAGGTAGGAGGGCGTATGCACCGATCCTGGGCTCAGGATGGGCCTGGCCAGAATCGGTGTATGTGCATAGTTCTTTTTCCTCTATGCTCCGAAGACGAAATTCTTCATCCTGAATCGTTTCCTGACAGTCCCGGTGTCCGCGGAGGGCCTGGAGCGCCCGAAAGCTGCGAACAGCATCGGGAACCCTTTCCCTCAGGACCCGCTCCTCCCCCATCGCGACGACTGGAGGAGCAGAAAGGCGCCGATACCGCTACCCCCAGGACCTCTCCTTGGGCACGCTCGGACCAGGATTGCGAGGCGACTCCGGCTGTGGCGACGGGGACTCCCCAGGACGACCAGCGGCATCAGTACATCTCCCTCCACCGAACGACGGCGACGGCGTCGACGGCGGCGGCGGCAGCAGCAACAATCAGCGATTGGTGGCGCGCACGAGGGGGTAGGGGGAGGGTAGAAGGCTTCTTGAGAAGGGGCCCAGGGACACACAGATAGATACACACAAGTCCCAGGATTCACCATATATTTTGTGTTTTGGGGGAATTTCGTCTTCACCCCCATGTCCCATACTTTCCCATATTTTCCTGGGAATCGACGATCCATTGTGTCTGTATGTTCTTTCCCCTCCTGAAGGAGGCTGCGTCTTAGAAGGCGCCAGCCCTACATCTATACAAGGCCCCCGCCTTCCAGGGAGCAGGAGAGCTTCTCAGAGGCCTTCCCCCCTCCGCCATACCCACCTCCGCGCGCCGCCGAGATCCCCAGCGACCCCCCTCGGCGGGTCAAAGATGGGGTGCTGAGGGATGGGGTCCTGCTACGAGCAGGGAGGGATTCACAAGTGGCTTCTCGTCCCGAGGACCCCACCCGCATAATCAAGCGCGCTCCACTGCTCGCAGGGTAGCTGCTCGCAAATGGCCTGGATCCATCGCGTCGAGGCACAGAGGCTCCACTGCACATCGAACAACGCTCGTTTGATGTCGCTTGCGAACAGGCGCTCTGCGAGTAGTGGAACGCGCTCGCTGACCTCAGGACCCCATCTTGGAACCACCGATCCCCCGCGCCGACCTGGCCAGCAAGGCCGACAGCCCTGCTTGAGCGGCCAGCGGGCGCCGCCCCCTGGTGGCACGGGGCCTACATGGCGGCGGGCCACTCCTCCTCATCCTGCTCCTGCTGTTCCTGCTGCTCCTGCTCCTCCTGCTCCTGCTCCTCCTGCTCCTGCTCCTGCTCCTGCTCCTGCTCCTGCTCCTGCTCCTGCTCCTCCTCCTCCTCCTCCTCCTCCTCCTCCTCCTCCTCCTCCTCCTCCTCCTCCATTGGAGGCCTTCGCCAGAACGATTGAAGGCTACAGTCAACACTTAGAGTAAAGATCCACGACGAAGACGCAAGGGCCTTGGACACGCGTGCTGAAGCCTTTTCGAGCTCGGCGGGCCATCGAAAGCAGTCAGGCATGGACCGAGGAGGCAGGGATGCAGGGTACCCTTGGGAAGGCTACAAATCCCTATCATCGATTTCGACTGTAAAGACTAATACTCAGCCCGATTAAGGAGCCAATGAGCCAAATCAGGCCAGATTAAGCCCATGGCTAAGCTGGATTAAACCGGATTCCACGGGATGAAGCGGTACTGCGCGGGAGTATGCAGCATGCTGGACCCAATGCTGACTTGAACCTCCCAGACATTGCATCCTAAACGGCCGGGTTCATGCCGCGACCACCTGCGCACTGGTTTCCGAAACCGCGTGGATCGCTCAACCTTGAACGATCGTGGCCGCGCGGATCGCTCGGTGTCGGCTGACTCTGGGCCACGGGCAGCGTCGACCCTGGAACGTCCGCGCTAGGCTCGCCGCCGCGTCAACGCGGCACGAACCTGCTCATCCTGCATCAGCGCCCCTCCAACGGGGACTCCACCGACGGGTAATTTGGCCAGTGACCCAGCGAACCCAACCCTCACTGATGTGGGCAACGCCACAATGCCAAGATGATGCCCTAAAGTGGCAACTTCCGAAATACCCGTTAGTGAGTACCCATGAATAACGGTGCCGCTGACTGCAGCTCCTCCAATTTCGCCGGGAACAAAGGGTTTGGCGACCCCAGTCCCCGACTTCGTGGGACGTCGATGGGTCAACCAGTTGGGCCCCCCCCATTCGGGGACACACGATGGGGGCCATCAATCCTTGGTAGGGGTGCTACGACTGCTATGAGCACGCCAAGAAAACACACCCCACAAAAAAAATGGCACTACGACTCATACGACGGCGACTGCTGCTGCTACACTCCGTGCCTCCGACCACACCACGCGCCCCGCCCCCGCTTCCCCGTGTGTTCCTGTTTGGGTGGCATGCCACGGGCGTCGTCACCGCACTGCCGCCCTCCTCCTCCTCCTCCTCCTCCTCCTCCTCCTCTCCCTCCTCCTCCTCCTCCTCCTCCTCCTCCTCCTCCTCCTCCTCCTCCTCCTCCTCCTCCTCCTGCTCCTCCTTTCCTCCTCCTCTTTCGAAGAAGAAAAACGCCATGAACACAAACTTCTGGCGCTCCGCGCGGACTTCTCGGACCTGCGCCGGAACCCCTCCCCGGCGACGCGCGGAGCGCGCCGGGGGCGGCGCCGGAGACGCTGTCAGGGGGGCACAGCGCGGATCCGCGAAGTCCGCGCGGAGCGCCCAAAGCTTATGATTGAAGGGGCCCTGGGACACACAAATAAATACACACAAATAACAGGATCCCACATATTGTTCCATATTTTCTGTTTTTTTTGTCTTCCCACCACTTCCCATATTTTCCAATATTTTCCTGGGAGTCGACGATTAATTGTGTCTGTGTGTTTTTTCCTCTCCTGAATGATTCTGGGGTGTCCTCTTCTTCGATCCCGAGGGCGTCGTCATCGCGCGCGCCGTCGGCGTCTTCGGTTCCGCGGCCGTCCCGGACTGTTTCCGGGGCTGGACAGACCCCCCTTTGGTAAAACGTGGTTCAGTTAAAACGGCCTGAGGCCCAAACCTGGCAGGCGCAAGCCTGGAAAATGACGGCCACAGCGCCCTCTCGGGAACCGAAGACGGACAACACACTGATCGGCGTGCCACTGTTCGGGGGCTCTGTCCACCCCCGGACTGTTTTCTCGCCTCAGCCCATGCAGTGTCCACGAGGAGGCGCGCGCTCGCAGGGCAAAGCCCGGGCGCGCCGTGCGCCGGATTGCGCACACTGCCCCACAGCGTGCCGCCGGCGAAATCGGAGAGGGCGAGCATTGTCTCGCAATCGCTCGGACGTCCATTACCTGTGTCTTTTTCGGTTTCGATCGTCCTCGCCGAAGGAAAAATGCACGAGTCCGAGCGATGCCAAGTTGTCAGGCATCAAGATGTGAGCCCTGCGACGGGGGTGTCCGATGCCCCTACGTCGAGTGGACCCGTGTATGGGGTGGGGCTCGCCAGTAGTCGCAGAAAGGGTGAGGCGCATCTGGGTCGCAGGAGGAGGTGGAGGAGGTGGACCCCCTCCCCCTCCAACTCATGGTGGTGGTGGTGGTGGTGGAAAACAGGCTCATCAGGGGAGGGCCCAGAAATCTTCTCAGAAGGACCGAGGCCTCCCGAGCCTTCCGCGAGGGCCACCCTCTCTCGCGCACCCCCCCGGGGCTCGCCGCCGAAGAAAGCTCAGTCCTACAAGGGCGCCTGTCGGCCATCGTGAGGATCCTCAAGGCCAGGATTCACCTCATCCAGCCTGCCCAAGAACCACCACCTACTCTTCCTCCTCCTCCTCCTCCTCCTCCTCCTCCTCCTCCTCCTCCTCCTCCTCCTCCTCCTCCTCCTCCTCCTCCTCCTCTCCTCCTCCTCCCCCGCGTCCTCCTCCTCCTCCTCCTCCACTCTCCTCCTCGTCCTCTCCTCCTCCTTCCCATTCTTCCCCGCTCCCCCCCCCCCAAATGAATCCCCCCCAATATTGATCGGCGGCGAGCGAGGGGGGGAAGGAGGAGAGGGACAAGGCCGCCCGTCCATAGGGACCCCTGGGGTGAAGTCGGCATGTCCCTCTACGGGAGGCGTATCCAAAAATAGTCCAAACATGATACGGGAAAGATGTTGCTATGGCTTTTGCGCATAATCTGACAATGTTTCATGCTTCGTCCAACATCCGCCTGTAGGAGGACATGCCCGACCTAACCCTGGGGCCCAAAAGGGGTACGACAGGTGCACGTTCGCCCCTCCCCCCCCCCCCTCTTCCCATTTATCGACCCCCCAATATTGCTCGGCGGCGAGCGGGAGGGAGTGTGAGCAGTGAGAAGGGCAAAAACTTCTCTGGAGGCGGCGCGACTTCCGTGTGGGCCCCTGGCGCGATCCCCCCCCCTCCCCCCCACGCCTCCCACTGATCGCCCCCCCTCATGAAGCATCGCCGAAGCGGGTGTCCTATTGCCCCCCCCCCCCAGTTAAGCTTACAGTGCCGTCTTTTATACATGCTCCGCGTGCGGATCATGTATCAAGCGTGCAGGGTTGTAGTATTAAAAACAACGATGAGTTCATGCATACATTTATTCATGCATTAATCATGTATTAGCAGAGGAGGAGGAGGACGAGGAGGACGAGGAGGAGGAGGAGGAGGAGGAGGACGAGGAGGAGGAGGAGGAGGAGGAGGAGGAGGAGGAAGAGGAGGAGGAGGAGGAGGAGGAGGAGGGGGAGGAGGAGGAGAAGGAGGAGGAGGAGGAGGAAGAGGAGGAGGAGGGCGCACGTGCACCATGTCGTACCCATTTTGGGCCCCAGGGGCCCCTGCAGAGGGGGCCCCACCTCGGCCGTCTCCGAGGCCCCCGGGCCTGAGGTCGCACGTCCTCCTACAGGCGGACGCTGGACGAAAGATTGCAACAAAAAACATCCAAGAAGAAAGCATTCCAAAGCAGCCATTGCAACAGTGGAAAATGAAATCGCCCCCTGCCTATTTTCTTTGCTATTTATTTGGGCTCGGCTTGACCGCAAAGGCCGCCTCCCCGCACATCTCTTCAGTCCCTGCCGATGGAGCCTCACTCAATGCAGATACCTGTAGCACACATTACGTCTGAAAATTGGGATTCCGAGCTGAGAGAGATCGCCTGATCCCTGCAAGGCGGCGAACACAGCAAGCGCCAGCCGGAGCCCGGACACTTCGGCGGAAAATGAATCTGTCGCATTGGGTTCCCACGTCCCCCCGAACTGTAGAGGGCCGTGCCCGACTTCACCCGGGGCCATGCGCGCCCACGGGAGGCGGGCGCGCGGCAGGGGCCCGCCCCGCGCGGGGGGCTGAGGGCGGCGGCCGGGGGAGCGCGCGGAGGACGCCGGCGGCGAGCCCGCCCGGCCGGCGCAGAGAGCACCAGGCTGGGGGGGGCCTCTGGCCTTGTGGGAAAAGTCCCAGAGAGAAAGTGTCGAGACAGTGTCGAGACAGTGTCGAGACAGTGTCTCGAAACTTGTGGAAAAATCCCAAAGAACAACTTGTGGGAAAAAGTCCCAGAGAGAAGCGTCGAGGCAGTGTCGAGACGGTGTCGACGAAGTGTTCGCAGCCCTAGAAGCCCCAGAAGCCAAGGGCACCCTGGAGGCAAGCAGGGTGTTTCTTGGCATTGGTTTCCCCTGTACTGCGTCTCCTTCCTCTTTTTCGTTTCTTTCTCTCTCTCTCTCTTTCTCTCTCTTGTAGCTTCCGATGACGCGGGAGTTGTAACTCTCGAGCTGAGGTTTATGTTGCTCCAATCGCACTCAAGGACCACATCCCAGAAATAATTTCGAGCACCCAGAAAAGTGAGGAAACAGGGCCCGACACCCTTCCTTGGTGCTCGACATTCTTTCTGGTGGTCAAGGCCAAAGTAGGTTGGAACATCATAAGCTGAGGTGGGAGGTACAACAGCCAGGTTCCTGATACGACCTCGCTCGCGGCACAGAGGAAGCGAACGGGACAGTGCTCAGGGTGGGCGGCCAGTGACAGGGAGAGAAAGAGGTGATGAAACCCTGACCCCTCTATTCGCCGGCCCAACGGGCCAGGGCGTGCTAAGATCTCCGGTAACTGGTTAACAGTATTAACAGTATTTCTAGTTCGCGCGCGCGGGGCGGCCCCTGGGGGTCTCCCGGCGAAAAGTACCCCGACCAACGCCCGACCAAGTCTACTCAGAGATGGTTTTCCTTCTGGGTGCGGCCTCTCAGGCTCCCCAGAGCG